ATCATCGGACCATCTATGCAGCAATCCTTGGGCCCAAATGGCTAAGGGTAAAGTCCATTGCTTCCTTCTAAGAGCCACTTTCCTTTCCCTCCTTTGTCAGGCCTGCAATGCTCCTCACCCACTGAGTATTTAATATCTGTGTTTCCAAATCAAAGAACAAGCTTTTTGTCTCCCAGGATAGTGTCTTGTAAAGCCAACCTCTTTATTACTGCACCAGTTTAGGGCTTTATTACTTGTGTTCTGAAGCCTGCTAGTGAATTATGCATGTGAGAGCTCCCAGCACCTTCCCGCTCTCCCTCCACCTTTCTGGGGGTCCAGAAAGTACCAGGAGAGCTCCACGTGTGTTCATTTCCACCCAAGGTATTAATCCTTATTCATTTTAAAAATCTGCTAACGGAAATATTTCCATTCAGCTCATTAATCAATTGTGATTTTCATTCCCTTGTTTTGTAAAAGCTGTTGCAATAAATACTTTTTTCACAAGGCGAAACTCCAAGAGATGGATGCAGCCAGCGTAATTAATTGCACCCAGTTACAGGAGATCAGCAAGTTTGTGAGATTCACATGCTGCTATACCATATGGTTGCCCAGTAGGCGAAAAATTTGATTAATGTTTTGAAGTAGATTTTTTTCAGCAAATATTACAGCCCCAGATGAGGTGGTTTTTCTCCCCCCCCCCATCCCCTTTTACTTTCTCGTATTGTTAGGCTTAGCTGAGGGAACCAGTCCTCTGATTTAAAGCTTAATAATATTGTGATCCACTGAAAACTTAACATGCAATAAAAATTAGTCTGCCTGTCTCTTGTGGATACAGAAAAAATAATGCATTATGTCTTTGTTTGTAATTAAGTAAAATGTGAAAGTTGGATTTCAGAACTTGTTCTCCCCCTTCCCCCCGCCGAAATGAAACATGACTGTGGTTTTTAATGGATGCATTCTTTTGGTATGATCTATAAGCAATATATTTGGGCACACTTTTAAAACTAAAAGGAAATAGCAAAACAAAACGAGTCAGTGAACAGCTTAATTACATACTGCATACCAATTAGACCATTATAAATATAACTATGTGAGTGTCATAGAAAAGTTTAAGCTGTATCGACTTTGTGACCCTCACCACTCAAGATGTTCATAATTAATGTCTCCTTTTTTTTAAAAATAAAACTCTCCAGATTTTGAAATAAATTTTATAGTTTCCTTACCTTTTGTTATTATTGTTAGAAAACCTGTCTTATTTTATGGCTCCTTGTCCTGTTGGACACCCATCCTCTTATGCCACCAGGGTCCTGCTCGGTGTTTTCTTTCTAATCACTGGGATGCAGTCAGCCACTTGGTAATGTAACAGAACGAGGTATGGTAGGCCTGC